CCAACATTATAAATTTACCTAGGTGTAGGTATATAAAAGAGAGAATAATCTAAATTGATATGACTTCATTTTGTATGGCCAGCTTTTCTATATTATGGGAAAAGTTGGCTATTAAACATAAAGAGACACATTATTACATTAATTATTAGAAAAAGGGAACTCGTATGACTTTTGTTTATCATGTCTCAAAACAGATTTTCCAAAGAGGAAACCCTCCCCAACAAACAAAATAGTAAAATTAAGCAACCTGCGTTCATCAACAGTGCGAGTAATTCTGAGCAATGCCATTTTTATCTTAATAACATAAAAATCTAGCATTTTGATTGATACAGATTATTTTCTTCATGAGTTAGATCACAGGCATAAATTGGCATAATTTCAGAGAAAAAAATAACTATTTTCCAAATGCACAAATACAAATTTCATTTCGTTTATTATCCTATTCCATTTTGTAATGGGGCATTACATTTATTTCATTTTCACAGAACTGTAGCTAGTTCTGTTAATAACAAAAATGGTACTGTTTATCATCATCTAATACTAATCAATCATTCAAAAATGCCTGCATAGGATTATTTTGTACAAAATCACAAAGCAAAATGAATTTGAAAGTAAAAGATTCCCTTGGAATGTATAGTATATTTCTTTCTTCTTTTTTTTAATCACTCTCAACAGAGTGGTTTTATAGTCAACACATTTTCATTATTTCATTTTCTCTTATGCAATTCTGAAGAATTTCACATTTTGCCTTAAATATAATATTCTGAGTGAGTTTCATTTTATTGTCCACATGAATGCTATTTTAACTCTATCCCAGCTCTATTTCATTTTTGTGAAAGATACTGAATTTTAAAGTTGTCTCTTATAAAGTTGTGGTCTTAACGTAAATGAAACAAATTGGGAACTACGAAACTGAAAATTAAAAAGTAACTTGCAGTCAGGTAAAAATGATATAGGCTAGACCTATAAGGCTTGTGTCGTAGATATTGCATACCATGTGGGCATTATATGCACAAATTAGCCTACCTTTGTAGACACCTGAAACTCATAGGCCTCATCCTTAGAAAGATGGTTTCTGTTTCAAATTTTCTACATTCTGATGCCAGGCATCTCACCTGATGCTCAGCTATCTTGTGAAAGAAACCAGATACCTTTTTGCAAATGTGAACCTCATTATTATTCCATTCTGCTAGGGTCTGTCAAAAATTTGATATCAGTAGTAACTCAGCTTCATAGTTTCATCTAGCCATTAAGTCAAATCTAGCTAATGGGCTGGAATCATAGATTGGCTTTCATGCCCTCTGGTGGATGCTCAAAGAAACTGCTACACTCATTCGTAAAAATGAAAAAAAAAAAAAAAAAAAAAACCACCTCATTTTAGAAAAATGAACATTCTTGGCCTGGCGCTGTGGCTCCGCCTGTAATAACAGGAGGCCGATGTGGGCGGATGACCTGAGGTCAGGAGTTCGAGACCAGCCTGGCCAACATGGCAAAACCCTGTCTCCTCTAAAAATACAAAAAAAAAAAAAAAAGTTAGCCATCCACTGTGGGGGGCACCTGTAATCCCTGCTACTTGGGAGGCTGAGGGAGGAGAATTGCTTGAACCTGGAAGGCGGAAGTTGCAGTGAGCCGAGATCACACTACTGCACCGCAGCCTGGGTGACAGTGAGACTCTGTCTCCAAAAATAGATAAATAACTGTCTTTAACATGGGAAGAAAAAAATTTCAGTCCTAATACAAACACAGAAATAAACCAATCAACCAACCAACACCAAACAGGTACTTTTGTTTGAAGTGCACTGACCCATAAATACAAGTAACTTTAAAATAAATTCCGATTACTTCAACTCTGACTTTCACTACTGTCTTAGGCAAATTAGCTGCTAAATCATTAGCCCTGTTTCTAGATGTGCTTACACTTTTCTAAGGGTTAATTATAACCACTGCCTGCTTTGTAAACGGAATGGGATGTAACATATGTAGCTCATAGGATACAAACAAAAACTTTTTCTTAGAGTCAGTCATTTGAGGTCAATGTAGTTATATTGATCATTTTCTGATGTTTACTTATTATAGTCACTTTTAAAGTTAGAAGATCATAGTGGAAAAATATCTGAAATAGGAACTGGAAGATGACAATACCTAGTCTCTAGTTTTGCTTCTTACACTAATTAGCTATACAACTTGGGCAAGTCAAATCCTCTTCCAGGGTCCACACTTTCTCATCTGTTAAATGAAAGCAGACACACATGCATAGATAGATAGATAGATGGATAGATAGGGGGAGAGAGAGAGAGATATATATATATATATCTTTTGTGTCTATTTTTTATAACAATCTGTGAGCTTTTCAACTATAAAAGTATATATATACATTATTGAAAAATTTAAAAATCGAGAAACATAAAAAATGAAATCACCTGTAGCCCCATTATCTGAAGATATGTTTTACATTTTTTACTTCTTTATAGTATGACTTCCTTTGTTGGCTTGGAATCACAAGCTATAACACTGCCAAATCATGTACTTGTTTAATTTTATATTTCTTTCTATTTAAGAAATAAATGAACTTCATTTTAAAAGTCAAGTAGTACTATAGAATCCTAATAGAAATCAGAACTTTCCTGCCATACCTAATCCCACACATTATCTCTGAGTCCAACTTCTTGAGATGACAATTTTCAACTGTTTTAGTATTTTGTTACAAATATTCATGATCTAATTCTAAAATGATGCGCTTTTAGCACCATTTGGTTTTTCCTTTAATTAATTAAATTTCCACCATCTGAGATTAGCATTTATGTTTCTTACTGTATCCTGCCACCTTCCTTCGCAAACCTTTTCCCTTTGCCTATCTTGTTAATATAAATAATACATATTTTAAAATATTAATTTAAAAATTTTAATTAATTTAAATATTACTTACATTATTCATCACTTAACCATTTTTAACAGTACTAATTATTTGTAATTTTCATAGCTTAACCATTTTATAGTTAATCTAATTTTTGTTTTTCATGGATTTAATAAATGCCTTTTTTCACTTCCTCTGTTTTCTACTTACTACTAATTTAACATTGAAGTTATGTGTATATTTTTCTTTAATCATTCCTCTTATTTTCTGTAGCTCATTGCTGTTATGTTCTGATTGGAATTGGCTCTTCTTTGGGCTGCTGCAATACTGTCTTCCTATAGGTTAACTTCATTATCATTTTCAGAATTCTCTTCACTTCTTTTGCCTCTAATTCTTGGACATTTCTGGATTGCCATAGCAAATATTAGCTTAATCATTCTATTTCTTCCATGACACTTAGCAAAGCAGAGAAACTCAAAGTCTCAGTCGATCATGACAACCATCTGTGTCCATCTCATTCATCTTTCCAAGTACTAAAATCTTATGATTAACTTTCTTCTTACTGTCATCTTCTTATCTCTGTCTCTGTGAATTTAAAACATTTTAATTTCTTTTCTATAATCTTAGTAGGTTTCTGAAGAGAGTAGACGTCTTCATTCTACCATGTTTAACTTGAAGTTAGGAATAGCCAGGTCATAAAATTGTCATTAGAATAAAATCTGATAGCATATATGAAAGCAGTTTGTTCACCATATAGCCCTACACACACACCAGGGACTATTGCAGTACATAAACACAAGCTTCTTTAGATCTTTTTCATCAGCAGATACAAGTGAGATTATGTTAACAGCACTAAGTCAGCTGTCTCTGGCTTTTACTCACCCTCACTTTCATAAGGCCTTACCCCCATTAAATCCTCTTCCAGTTTTTCGGGGATTTCCAGAACTAGGAAACATTACTTTAAAACTTAGTTTTAGTACAGGCAATGATTTCCTTGAAGATTTACATTCTAGCCCTGGAAGAAACATACCAGACTACCAGTAGAAAAGTACATGATGCTCCTTATATTATAAAAAGATTACTCCACATATTAAAAGTTTCTTTACATCATGTGTCATTAGGGAATTGCAAATTAGAACAACAATGGAATACTACTGCATACCTATTAGAATGGCCAACATTCAGAAGACTGACAACATCAAATGCTGGTGAGGATGTGGAGCAATGGGAACTCTCATTCATTGCCACTAGAATTTCAAAATGGTACAGACACTTTGAAAGGTAGGTTAGTGGTTTTGTTGCAAAACTAAACATACGATCCAACAAACATGCTCTTAGTATTTACCCAAAGGAGTTAAAAACTTATATCTCCACAAAATCTTGCATATGGATATTGACAGTAGCTTTATGCATAATTGCCAAAACTTGGAAGCAACCAAGATATCCTTCAGCAGGTGAAGGCATACATAAACTTTAGTAAAGCAGACAATGGATTTTATTTAACCCTGAAAAGAAATGAGCTATCAAGCCATGAAAAGACATAGAGGAAACTTACGTGCATATTACTAGGTTAAAGAAGCTAACCTGAAAAGGCTACATACTGTATGATTCCAACTATAGGGCATTCTAAAAATGTAACGCTATGGAGAAAATAAAAAGATCAGTGGTTGTTTGGATTTAGAAGGGAGGGAAGAAAGGATAGATAGGCAGAGCACAGAGGACTTTCAGGGGCAGTGAAATTACTTTGTGGGACACTGTAATGGTAGGTACATGTCATTCTAAATTTGCCAGACCTAGAGAATGTACAACACCAAGAGTAAGTCATAATATAAACTATGGACTTTGGATGATAATGATGTCAGTATAGGCACGTCAATTGTAAGAAGTGTATCACTCTGGCAAGAGATGTTGGTAATGGGGGAGGTTATGTAAGTGTCAAAGCAGGGTGTATATAAGAAATCTCTCTACCTTCTGCTCAATATTCCTGTGGACCTAAAACTGCTCTTAAGATAGTTTATTACAAAGGATTACCCTAGCTTCTATGGCTCCAAGTATTTTTTGGCCTGAGCAACAGTTGCAGTTAACTGAGATGGGGAAGGTTTGGATAAAACAGATTTGGAAAAAGAAGATAAGGAAATAAGTTTGGTCAAGTTAAATTTTAGATATCTATTGATGTTTATTGTTTTGTTCGACAAATTTGTCAGCTGAAGATCATATGGCATCTGCAATGGATGTTTTTTTCTGTCCCCCTGCTGATGGCCACTGCCAAAATGCCACTTGAAGATATCTCATTGCTACTTCTGCAGTCCTCATGAGAACAGATATCTCTGCCGAAGGTTCTTAGCATGGTGCTGCAATAAATGCCAAGCCTTGAGGCTCCAGGGAAACACTGTGGACTATGGAGTCCACATTCTTTCCTGTAAAAGGGGAACTTTTCTTTTCTCCCCGATTGGCATTAAAAGTGCTCCAAGTCTTCAGCAATCTCCTTCACCTTCTATCTACAATTTCTTCCTCCTCAGGCTGAGGCATAAAACCTCTTAGACTGAGACTTGTAATCTTTTGCTTTTCCTCTTCATTTATCCTTTACCCTTCAACTCCAAACGTTTCTTTTTCCTACTCTGTCCCCTCACCTTCACTCAAATATTATCTTTCTGGTTCTGGTTCTGGTTCCGGACATGTTGGATTCTTGGCTTGGGCTATTGTTAAATTATAATAATTTTTATGGACTCCACACTAGGAAAGAGTTTAAAGCAGAAAATGGTGTGATGTATACTGCAGTGGAGTCCTAAATGTGATGGAAACAACTTTCAGCACCTAATCGTTGCCTATTTGGGTATGAGTGGAAAAGCATTAATTTGGTTGTGTAGCATAAAAGTATGACACAGCAGTGACACATCAAGAGCCCACTAATTTACTATTTAAACATCTCCATGACCCAAATTTTTTCCAACATCCATTCTTTTGTTGAATTGTCCTTCCTCAGACTATGTGAATAGATCTCTGGACATATCCAATAATTGAAATAACTATTCCTAAATTTGGTGTTTTGGAATTACAGATGTCGTTAATGCTTTAAATTGATAATCCACACCTAAAATCAGCTTGTTTTTAGAATTTCTTCATATGGAGGTGGGGAGCCTAACGTGCCAAAACATGGAGCAGGAACACGATATAGGTCAGGGGCTTGAGTTTGAAGGTGAATTCCAACAGGTGGACTCACAGCTGCTTCTGTCCCTGGAAAGAGAAAGATGAAGACTTGTAATCTTTCTAGTGAGCATAAAACATAGGTACAGGAACTGCCCAATAAAAGCTGGCATTTCTGAAGCAACAGGAAATTATTTGTATCTATGAGAAAAAATTACAACTATGTTGCTCTTTGCAGGGAAGGTTTAGTCACCATAGCAAAAAAAAAAATCGCTTACCTGAACCGATGAAATCATCATTGTGTAATCCATCAAGAAGCATTTACAATTTAGCAGCTGAAACTAGAAGGAATATCCTCTTTTGTACATCACAAAACAGGATTCCTCAACACTAATAGCATTTCAGCTAATGCTCCCAACATGGGAAATGTAAGTTGCATTAGAAAAATTAAAATATCACTTTCGAAATTGTATTATTTTACATTTATGGTTGCAAACTTCAACTAATACAAGTAATTAATTATTCCTCTTTAGTAAATAGTAAAAATGTTAAGCTCAGTGATGAAAAGCATGTATTTAAAGTATACACACACAATAAAGGAATATATTCTAAAATTTTAAAAAATACTTTGAAATCAAAGCTCGTGACTTCTAGATTAGGCATAATACAGGACATTAACTATTACAAACTGGCCTTTTCTTTCACTAACTGGTAACTTTGAAAGAAAGACAATATGCTTACTCTAATGGCTCTTTTGGAAATTGCCTGTTAGTATTTCTTTGAAAGATTGTGTTTGGGTAACACACACAAAAAAGTGCTATTTTATAATCATCTTTATATTAATATATGGCTGTATATATAAAGATGGTTTTTATATATATATATAAAGATGGTTTTTATATATACACACACACACACACACACATGCACACATACATACACACATATATATAAATGCTTAAGAATATGTATTCACCTGGATATATTCTGGATCTTTACCCACCTTTAAATAATTTTGACTGCCTTTTGCCAAAACAATAGCAACCACCAAAAATTCATCTTTAAAAAGAAACTAGTCCCTTGAACTGAATCTGGCCTCTGTCTTTTTGTATATTAAATTTACAAAACATAATCTTATTCATACATTTACATATTGTCTATGGCTGCTGTTGTACTACCATGGCAGCCATAAGTCGTCCCCACCTAGACCATATATTTTGCAAAGCCAAAAATAATTTCTATCTGTCTGTTAATGGAAAAAGTTTGCTGACCTTCCTTAAAGGAGTAAGATTTGATGCCATTAGGAATATTCCAAACAACATGCCACAACGATCAAAAGAATTCAAAGAGTAGTTGCATATTAGACATTAGCTGCTTCACTAGGATCCATATGGATATTACTCAAAATGATTACTTTGAAGCAGATAATGTTAATTTAGAATGATGGATTTTCATACAGTGGCGTTTGTCTTATTTCTTATCTCACAGGTACCAGAGCAAAGACTAATAATTCAAGTATGTAAAGGGTGGGGTGTATTTAGAATATATGTCTCACCTTCTGGTTTAACACTTTTCTTAGAGTTATCTATTTGATTAAATAGTCTACTTTTGGGTTATTACATAATATTTTTTTACCTCAGTTTTCTCTTAGGCAATAAAGGTATAATACTAGTGTCTACCTCTATAAAAGCAAGGCTAAATGAGCATAAAGTACTTAAAATAAGGTCTGGCACAGAATTATGCGTCAGGGTTTACTATTATTATTATAATCTGTCAAGAACTGTACTAATGCTAGGAACGTGCATGCATCTTCTTTTATTTACAATATTATTTTTCAATCCATCCTCTTTTCATAGTTAAATAATGATTTAGACATTATCATTATTAATTATAATATAGAAGTTATTAAATGAAAAGTATTATGGAGTTAGAGCCCTTTGCAGTTTGTAAGTTTGGGTTGATGTCAGATAAGTCTGTGGGACTTGATCAGAGTTAACACTGGTAAAATACAGTTGTCCCAGTAATTTCCTCCATTGTGAATACTTGCAATGAATGATGGCTATTTCCTTGGTGAACTGCACCTAGTGTATTCAGTACAAAGCCAAAGGTAACTCTCTTTCTGCCTAGAAATGGTCAACCAAACTACTTGACACATCTATTATTTGTACTAGCTCCAATTTATGTCTACGATTGCCACTGTCAATATTGTGCTCCCAGTGATAGAGTCTTTATCGTTGCTTTCGTAGAAAATTTTCATTATCTTCTTACTACAAATTTTGCTGTTGATCTTAAACTTGTTATTAAAACCACAAGGCATTGGGTAAACATAATTGAGCCAATGTGCTCAGGAAGTTTTGAAAACCAAATATAGGTTATATCAGTTTTCAATTTTTTTTCAAAGCATGTTTACATATAATATCAAGTGATTGGATACTGGGGAGAGCAGGCATTTCTATCTTTTGACAAATTAAGAAACTGAGAGAACTGAATAAAAAATGCCAGCAAAAATCCTATAGTTTTTACAGAACTGCTGTCTAAGATATCAGTTTATTGTTTAATTTTGTAAAACCAATACACTTACGGCTTAGTTTTTATAGCCAGATTTGACATTTCCTATGTTTTTAAGAATCACTCAAATAGACTTCACCTCTTTCTACATGTTCTTTCTACCTATTTCTTCTCTTTCCTTTGCCTCATTCCTTTCTCTGCTATGGGAGTGGCCAGAAGGACTGAATTTGAGTCACAGTTCTGCCATCTACTTACTACGTTGCTTAATCTCTAAGTGCCTTTGTTCCCTCACTCGTAGAGTGGTCAGAATGATAGTGAACTTGCATAGAGTGGTAAGGAAGAATAAATGAGATTCGGAATGTCAAGTGTTAGCACAGGGCATGGCTCCTGGGAAATGCTCAATGAATGAGTCATTACTATTGCCATGTCTTTCCATGAAAATCTGTGAATGAAATACTTCCTTTTTTATTACTGAAAATAAGTCACAGAATATTTATACATACAACATGAAACATAGGGAAATGACATTTCTGAAAAATCATAAAATAAAAGAATCCTGGGAGACTTGGAGGGAGAAGAGAGCAGAGCCTGTAAGACCTTGCTTCTTGTTCACCTCTCTGGAGCCCTCTTTTTTCTCCCCAGCTCAGAGCACTCATATATAATCACTGCTGGAATGCTGGTATTTCTATTTTCCCAGAAATAAGAAAGAGGGAAGATTATCCCTGAAACTGCAGAAGAAATGGGGTCAGAGAGATTGTATAGTTGCATTATCAAGCAGTCTGCCCCAATGAGAAGCTAAGCCAAGATAAGTGTCCCTAGGACGGGTGTCCCCTTGGGCTTCATCTTGCAATCAGCTCAGGAAAGGCAGGGAACCTCATCGGGAAGCCTTGTCAAGCCTGAGGGAACCCAGCTCCAATCCACAGACCTCATGGCATAGAGGCAAAAGGACCCTTATTTAAATGTTATGTGATTGATTATGTTTTATTAAAAACATGGACAAACAGTTGTGGAGGTCCCTCTCCTATGCTCTCCAATTCTCTCTTTTCTAATACATAGTCAATTGTTTTTCTGCCTTAAGCTCTATTTGTCCTTTTCTCACCTCCAAAGCTCCAAATATTTTCCATTATCTTTAAATGTCTTGCTTCCTCATTAATATGGGTTTTTATTCAGCATCACAACTTTATTTTTAATAAAACATTATTGTCATCCTTGTTTTTAGTAATTAAAATAAAAATAACCTTTCATTTTTAATAAATTCCAAAATTCCTTTGACATTGCCTACTTTTAATATACAAATTTAAGAAACAAAACAATTAACCTAATCAATAAAATCAAACTCCTGATCTTTCTTTAAAAACTATTTTTAATATCTGTTTTACCCTATCATAATTATAGTCCTTGGATTTATGAACTGCTGAGCAATGATTACAAACAATAGAGATTTGGGATACAGACGGTCATGTGAGAATTTTAATGATTTTTCTCTTTTTTTCCCTCAATTTTACTAAAAAAATTGCATACATTCCTTTTAAAAAATCACTGTCTGTGACTCAATGTGTGTTTTCACTTCCCATTTCCACATTTTAGAGAGGGGGGGAAAACTGGTTGTAGATTGATATGATTTGGATCTGTGTCCCCACCCAAATCCAGTGTTGAATTGTAATCCCTAATGTTGTAGGTGGGGCCCGGTGGGAGTTGACTGGGTCATGGGAATGATTTCTCATGAATGATTTAGCACCATACCCTTGGTGCTGTTCTCGTGATAGTGAGTTCCCATGAGATCTGGTTGTTTAAAAGTATGTAACACCTCCCCCCTCCCTCTCTCTTCCTCCTGGCCCAGACTTGTGAAGTGCTTACTCCCTCTTTGCCTTCTGCCATGATTTAAGTTTCCTGGGGCCTCCCCAGAAGTCAAGCAGATGCCAGCATCGTGCTTCCTGTACAGCCTGCAGAACCATGAGCCAATTTTAAACTTTTTTTTTCATAAATTACCCAGTCTCAGGTATTTATTTATAGTAATGTGAGAATGGACTAATACAGGAAGTCTTCTGTGTTTTCAGTTGTATTATCACTTAGGAGATATTCTGAAGGCATTATTAAATTAGATAAGATAGTAAGTGATATGGTTTGGCTGTGTCCCCACCCAAATCTCATCTTGATTGTACTCCCATAATGGGAGGGATTTGGCGGAAGACAATTGAATGGCAGAGTGGCTTCCCCCATACTGTTCTTGTGGTAGTGAATAGGTCTCATAAGATCTGATGGTTTTATCAGGGGTTTCCACTTTTGCATTTTTCCTTACTCTCTCTTTGTCTGCTGCCATCCATGTAAGATGTGACTTGCTCCTCCTTGCTTTCTACCATGATTGTGAGGATTCCCCAGCCACATGAAACTGTAAGTCCAATTAAACCTATTTATTTTGTAAATTGCTCAGTCTCGGGTATGTCTTTATCAGCAGCATGAAAATGGACTGATACACTAAGATAAGAAAACTTTGAAATGAATGAAAAAAAATTACCTAAACGTGGATGCTGAACAAAACACACCCATGTAATACTAGAATTATTCATCTTTGATGGTTCAGAGAAGGAACTAAGAAGGTCTCAGAAGCTACGGCATGGATGATGCCATTTGAGAAGACATGAGGGCATTGAGTGGATGCTCTCTGGGTTATAGCAGAGATGGTGAAGGAGAACGAGATCCAGAAGATGAGTTAAGTTCAGGGGAGCATAACAAGGGGAGAAGAAAGAGGAGGAGATTCTAGAGCTGTGATCAGGAAGAGGAAGTGGGGCTGAAGAAAAAAATAAGAATTTAGAGTCTGTATAAAATAAGTAGGTTTGAATTTTCGTCCTTAAAATATCTCTGATTTTAAACTGTTTCTTCACTTCTTCCTCTTTCTCTTGCTCTGCATCTTCTCCTTCTCTGCCTTCTTGACTTTCTTTCGATCTTTTCTTCTTCTTTCTCTGACAGCCCCTCTTCTTCCTCCTCACTCCCCAAGAGAGGAGTTGTATTAGTTTACTAGGGCTGTCATAACAAAGTACCACAGACTGGATCACTCAAATAACAGAGATTTATTTTCTCACAGTTTTGGAGTCTAGACGTCCATGACCAAGGTGTCAGCAGGGTAGGTTTCTTCTGAGGCCTGTCTCCTTGGATTGCAGATGGCTACCTTTCTCCTTGTGTCTCTACATGGTCTTTACTTTGTGCCTGTCTGTCTGTGTGCTAATATCTTCTTATAAGAATGCTAGCCATATTGAATTAAGGTTCATCCCAATTACCTCATTTTAATTTCATTGTCTTTGTCTTTTTAAAGGCCCTGTCTTCAAATGTAGTCATATTCTGAGAAACTGGGGTTAGAATTTGAACATATGAAATTGGGTGGGGGACAGCTCAGCCCACAACAGGGGGCATCAGAGGGAATATTTTTCCCTTTCTGAAGGGTAAAGAGCTTCCTGACATATTGTGGACACGGAGAGTGTTCATTGAGCACAGTAAGTGCCAGGATCTTTTCTACTGAATCCAAAGACTTTTGAGAAGCCCCTGAGTCTAAGGACCCACACTTCAGGGGTATAGATCCTATGAAGAGGAAGGAAGACCAGTTATCTAAAGACCAAATCAGCAGAGCACTGTGAAAAGACAAGAACATTAGTCCAGGAAATGCTACTGGGGTCTGTGGTGTTTGGGTGAGATCCCATAGACCTCTCCCAGACAGGAAATCTCACCAGACATTGGGATGGGCTGTGTTGGCAACACCTTCCATAAATACCTCTTTAAGGATCCAAGCCAAGTGTTTTCTTTTTTCTGTTTAGTATTTCTAATCAGAGTAACTGGCAACCTGTGCCATGTAATAGTGTCAGTAGTTCTGATTGAAAGAAATGTTCTATTTTATGTATTTTAACATTAGCACAATTTGACCACCTCAGTTTCTCAGTCAAAAGTTTCCTCTGAGTTCTGCTTAGTTGAGGGCAGCTTCCAGGAGATCCTGAGGGTCAAACCTTTGCTCCACAGGTCAGAAGAGCTGAGCTATTTCAATTAATGTATTCAATAAATGGTGATAATTAAGTAAAATAAGTTTGGATAAAAATTTTAAAAATTAAGTTCTGGGAGGAACCTAACATTAATATATCAAATCTAGTCTCTCCATTAAAATGTTTCAAATGATGCATTTCCCACATTCTGAATTCAGTGGGGAACATCCCATCTTCTCCTTTGTGCTCAAGAAATGGCAGGGAGTTCAGAAATCTTATTTTATATTCTAACATGTCACCTGTGTCATTCCAGAGATTTCTCATTTTTCTCTTTCTCTTCTGAACAGGGACTGTGAGGGAAATTCAGAAGCACAGTCCCATAACCTCAGTGTGGGTGTATGAATCCTGAGGCAGCTGGACTCAATTCTTAGCTGTGAGCACATACTCTGTGGGAGCTGCGGAGGTAGATGCTGCGGTTTTGACCCTCACCTCCTTCTGTAGCCACAAAAGCAAGTGGTTCTCTAACTTCCCTTTTGGAAAGCAGCTTCTTTTTCTAGAAATATTAGGTAGGAAGAATCATTTGTATGGAGAAGTGAAGGTATCATGAAGATCCAGTGAGGAACGTAAATTTAGCGTGGGTCCAGGTTTCCAATTGTCTTAAAATATTGACTGCCTGAAATTTACTTCCAGAAACTACTAGGTAAGGAGTCGCTAGAGATGGGAGATCACCACTTCCTAAATTACTCTTTTGTATTTTGTTTTGGAGAAGAGAAACAGGAATGCCACAAAGCTCAACTCCTGGGCACCATATCCACATCAAAGACTGTATGAATGGCTGTTCCCTGCCTGTCCTGCCATCCTGAGCATCCCTGGGACACGATGGAACGTGGGCGGTGGGTGGAACAACCTAACAATCAATTCAGCGTAGGCACAAAAAAAGATAAATAGGACAGAGTAAGTAATGGGAATCAAAAGTAGAGAGATTTGCAGTGCATCTCAGGATGGAAGAGTTTAAATGTTTCTTGAGCAAAATGAGATCCAGAAGTTAAACCAGTGGAACTGGGAGGAAAGAACAGAGTGAGGATGGGCATGAAGATCCTGGAGCACAAGCCCTACCACTGAAAAGCTGCTCTGTCGCGAAGTGTATGTGTTCAAATAGTGAGGCTGTACTTAGTGTCCAGGGATGGGCTGGGCTGTCAGTGACCAGCCTACATTTTCATAGGTTCCCTATCCCCAATTCTGGACAGTTTAAGCTCGATTCGTTGACTTGCAGTAAACATCTATGCATGCATGCTGCCCCTTGAGAGTGAGAGAAGTAAATAACATCCTCTAAGATAAATAATAGTCACTTTTCCAAGTTGATATTTAGGAGTTAGAGATAATATCTGAAAATCCTCAAATTACTGCTTAGCATTTGACAGACGTAAAAAAATTGTGACCATATTTTTTTAAAAAAGCAATTTACCCCCAAAGTTTTTTTGTTTGTTTGTTTTTTGTTTTGTTGTTTTTTTTTTTTTGGTGCCTGTTCTGAATGATTTCAGAGTAATATAGAGAATGCGAGTCTATTGTCCATCACGCAGTGCTAGCACATGCAGTGTGCTAAAGCAGTACATCAGCCTCGACACCTTCTCTCACACTCATGACTGTTCAGCCATGTTCAAGAGCATATATGGAAACTGCCATGCAAGAAATAGAAAATCATTAGATAAAGAGGTATATAACCATGGCACATAAACCACTTTAAAAATTTTAACAGTATAACTGTTAGCTTAATAATACACTTAAAATTAAAAACAAAATTATTTTAAGATTCAAGATACTTGAGGAAAAGGTCTTTCTCAAAGTGAGAGAAGAGCTGAAAATACTAGGCTGCATTTTTCTTTTTAGAAACTTAAGCTCAGATAAAAGAAGCATGATTGCATTGACTTATTAAATACCTCTAGGTAAATAAAGAAAAATAGTCCAATGTTATCATGTTGACTCCTTTGACTAACATATTTTGTTAAAAGATCAGTAACCCTATTTCCCTCTATGCCCCGTGGAAGGTGCTTTTGATTGTAGGAGGAAGAACTATTGTTTTGGAGACTTTAATTATCCTTCCTAAAATAACCATTTCCCAAACTGATAATGTGTTGCCTCTGTTAAATAATAACTTTTGAAGGAAAAAAAAAGCTGGAGGTGAATATAATCATTATCTTAGAAAACTAAGTTTGATGTCAACACATTTTTGTTTATTTTTACCCCATTTTTCATCTTGCTGTTAGTTTTCCTCAGGGAACACCCTTCTCCATCTGTTGCAAATTTCATGGTGGCCCAAGTTTCTGAAAGATGGCTTTGGCTATTATCTCTGTTAAACACTCTCGAGGTAACTGTGGTGTGTAAGGCAGCACCTTAGAATAAAGTCTCACAACAGTCCTGGTTGAGACAATACTTAAGATGAGGAAATAGCTATCAATTACGGCCTCCCAGAAATCAGTAAGTTGTTTTTTTTTTCTGCTCACAGTTAAGGCTGGCAGCTACAAATAACTCTAAGCCTTTAATTTCCTGCAGTCTTTACTTCCTTATGTAAACTGGAAAATGAAGGGAAGGGCATGGTTTTGGCAGGGGCTCGGAAGCTAACAGGATCAGGATGCTGAGATGAAAGGGGATGAAAATTGACACTCCCCTGACCATTTCACGGAATTTCAGATTCTGCCTTGACCGCAGACAATCTGAAAAATGTTGTTCAATGTTACTTCAGATGAGTTCAGTAAAGCATAGAAAGCTCAGTAAATGAGATTATAAATACAAGTTAAGACAGGTTGATAATAAAAGCTCAGAGATGCTTTTCGGTACCCTAAACCCTACCATTCACCTGGACTGCCCAGCCCTGCCTACTTCTTCTCTTCCGCTTGCTGAACAACAAACTATTTAGTTGCTTTCCTTATACTTAACTGTGGGTCAGTTCCCCAGACACATTTTCTTTCTTCTGGGATTGCCTTTCTTATGACATTTTCTCCTTTAAAGTCTCCTCAGTGCAGTCGTTGGTGTCTCCAATCAGCCACATCTTTTTCTAAGTTCACACATCTGCTTTTGGGAGAACAGTTTTTCAATTCACCACAAAACCGCAAAGGATCAAAAAAGAGTCCAGAAGTGTATAGACAACTCACCATAAATGGAGTCCAAGTCTCCAACAGCAAAAACGGCCATGGTGCGCCTGTGAGAATCAATTCGGGGTCTCCTCAGCCAGCACTGGAGGCAGAGAACCACTGCTCCACAGAGAAGAGCTGCCACCAAAACCAGCAGCAGGATCCTGACTCCAAATGTAACCGAGAAAAGAATGAGGTAGAGCATGTGGGGAAGTTAAGAGCTTCCATTACTACCTAGAAGTGGGGTGAGGACTCAGCTAGACTGGCCACAAGCAATGTGGGACACCGAATTCCTTAAACAATTTCCTACCACCCGCCATACATTTCCACTGAACTGGAAATATTCTTTGGCCTCAGAGAGGGTGGATCTTTCCAGGTGGTAATAATCATTTTCTCCTTGGAAATTGGAAGCTTATTCTAAAAGGCAGTGTCTTAATTCATTCATCCATTCTTCCTTTCAGACATCCATCCATCCATTCATCTATCCGTGCATCCATTAATTCATCCACTCATCCCTTCATCCATCCATCCATTCATCCATCCATGCATCCGTCCATTCATTCATTCATCCCTTCATTCATCCATCCATTCATCCATCCATCCATGTATCCGTCCATCTATTCATCCATCCATCCATCCATCCATCCATCCATCCATCCATTCATCCATCCAGTTAGTATTTAAGCAACTGCACACACTTTAGATATTGGGGTTAGGAATTCAAAAGTAGGCAGAGAGGGTCTTTGCCTTTAAGGAGATAACCAGCTAATTGAGTGAACTGACAATGTTAAGTTTAGAATATACAAATGTCAAGATTTAAGAGGTTAAAATTTCTGAAGGGGCCGGGTGCAGTGGCTCATGCCTGTAATCCCAACACTTTGGGAGTCTGAGGTGGGCAGATCATGAGGTCAGGAGATCGAGACCATCCTGGCCAACATGGTAAAACCCTGTCTCTACTAAAATACAAAAAATTAGCTGGATGTGGTGGTGCACGCCTGTAGTCCCAGCTACTTGGGAGACTGAGGCAGAAGAATTGCTTGAACCCAGGAGGCGGAGGTTGCAGGGAGCCAAGATCATGCCACTGAACTGCAGCCTGGTGACAGAGCAAAACTCTGTCTCAAAAAAAAAAAAAAAAAAAAAATCTGTAGGATTATCTCATAGAAGAGATAGTGGTCATTTGGAATGGCTTTTAAGGCTAGAACTAGTATCAGTGGAGGGTAATTTAAGGAGATTTCAATAACGATGTTTTTTTCTACTATATTTTCAAAAATAACAATTATTTTGCTGTTAAAGATTTTCAACTCTAGAATAAACTTATTTTTAAAAATAGTGAGTCCCTTTGTCACAAGAAGTGTTTAAGGAAACATTGGCCAACAATCTGAAAGTGATATTTCTATATTCATTTGCATGACCCCTAATCTTTCTTTAAGCTGTATGATTTCATGTACCATCTTGAATTATTTAGGAGAAAGAGTATGTATATACCACCAACTGTCATGTAAAACTAATGGAAGATATCCTTACCAGATATACCAGCCTTTAGGGTGTTGATCATTATAATTTACACACCTGGTGATAAAGGAAGAAGGTTAGTCCTGGAACTTTGGATAGCCAAAGCCTATTTCTTTCACCCAATAAAACTGGTATTGATCACACTTGTTTCTCCAGAACAATCACCTACCTATTCCCATACCAGCCCACACCTCCCGGCACCCAGCACAATTATGCAAATGTTTATGCCCACTCAATTCAAGGCACTGAGAATACAAGTAAATGTGAAATTATCAGACTGATATATAAACAGATAATTGCATTATAATGGGTTTGATTCTAGAGTTACAAATACTGTTATGCATTGAGAAGGCAGTGACTAACTCTTCAGGGACAACAAATCATAGGTGTCGGGTGTTAGGCAGATAACCATTATAGCTATATACTGTTCATCTAGAAACCCACAGTCACGTAAAACTCAAATTCTCCAGGGAAGAACATTTTGGTAGAGAATAGGAGGCATCGGACAACTGTTTGCACTCTTGTTATACAATCGGTGAGGAAAGAAATTAGGCTAGGAGGAAACTGAATGAATGTGGCCATCCCTACCATTTACCAAGGAGTTACAAGTCGATTCCTTCAGTCAGGAAGTTGACCCTCCTGTGTGTGTCTAGCCACAACTCAATCATTCTTGAGACAAGTTTTAAAAGGTCACAGACAGACAAAGTTCACAGAATGATTTTTGGGAGGTATAACTTGGCAGGCATAGAGTCCTTCACTATGCCTAACATGGCACACTAAATGTAAGTGGGCTGATGGACTTTTTTCATACGTCAATATACAAACTACTTTTAAGGTATTCTGTGCTTCAGCAATGGAAATCTGTTATTCACAGTCAGATACGCTTCTGAGAAGACACTATACTTAATCATATCTTCTTCAGCTGTTGTTAAAATAACTCAGTTCATTTCAGTTTGAAGACATTCATAAATGTCAGTTAATGTATTGCGTCTAGCTTCCCTGAGGAGGCAGTGTGTCATCCCATCATCATATATGTCAGAAATGACTTTTAACATATGTGAAGTATCCATTTAAAAATTTTATCACAAACGTTTAAGACAGAAACCAATCACCCAGCCTACAGATGATTTCATCCCCCTCCACGTATAAATCTCTGCTTTTTTTTTTTTTTATCTGTTTTTTGTTTGTTTGCTCTTTGTTCTGCGCACACAGAGTGTTTAGCAAAATTCACAGGTATGCCTGTAGTCTCAGCTACTCAGGAGGCTGAGGCAGGAGAATGGTGTGAACCTGGGAAGCAGAGCTTGCAGTGAGCCGAGATAGCACCACCACATTCCAGCCTAGGCGACAGAGCGAGACTCCATCTCAAAAAAAAGAAAAAAATTCACAGGTATGGCTGGAAAAAAAAAAAAATAGGAACTGAAGTAAGACTTTAAAAAGCATTCTAAGACAAATGACCATCAATAAAAGATGTGAAAAATAATTAATGGGATATACTTACAAAGGAATATTATTAGTCATCAAAAACAATGTAGACATGCTTATAAATAAGTCTTGCTAAGTAGTATAGAGACTTCAATCTTACTTTGTATATATTGTTTTTCACAAGTAGAATGATTTCACCAAAATTACTACCAGACATAAATATACACCAAACTACTAAAGTGCCCACTTCTCTTGAAGATGGCATTATGAAGAACTCTATCCCTTTACTATTGTTTGAATTATTGTAATGTACATGAATCACTTTGTAGTAAAAAGAACTTTAAAATATTACATTAAAAAATTAAAACATTAAAAATACAGATTTTTTAAGAGGCAGAAGTGGGGAAATTCTCTTGGTGCCCTGATTCAGTGAATAAAGCAGAAGGGTTTGTTTGTTTTGTTTTGTTTTGTTTTGAATTGTGACATCTAAGCTCATGACCAGGAGTACGGATTATTCCATCTCCCTCCTCTTCCTTTTCTTTTTTTCTATTTTAAAATAGCCCCTTTACTTATAGTTGACCTCAATTCTAAATATTAACCACCTGATTTTGTTTCTTAAATCTAATTGTTAAGGCCCTCTGTTTTTTTTCTTTCTGGGCTAACAATTTTCCAGACCGACTTGTTTCACTTTTTCTTTCTGAGCTGGTGCACCCTCTGGTGGAGCTTCTAATAAGCAATAACATGGCTAGGAAGCAGTTAGCTGGAGAAATGCAGTAATCATGTAAGTTCTAAATTGCAGGCACCTTTGAGATCTCTTATTCACCTTTAGGATTTTGCACAGTGTACCACTAAGACTTAAGGTGGAGAAAGGAAGTGGGGAGGTCACTACCTAGTCAGAGAACTACACGTGTCTTCTGGCTCCGTATGCTCCCCTCCCTAAACATTATTTCCATTTCTCTCTTAAATTCAAGTTTTAAACAGATACTTTTTGAGTTCCTAAAAAAGTAAGAGTATTCTAATTACTCAAATATTACTTCCAAGATAGTCAGTATGGGAAACGTTATATTTTTGAAAATGAAATTATTCCTCAGAGATTGGTCAAATCGGTATGATTATGCTAAAAAGAAATATAATCATCCGGGGGCGGTGAGAGCTGACTACAATGTGTGAGAAAGACATTTGGAATAAGAATTATCTAGAATTAGTTGTTGAAGGAGATAATTTCTGTCCTTATCAGAACGATTTCCTTTTGTTACTTTGATGTCATGGAGATGATTTCTGTGCTACACGGATGGTTAGATGAGTTGATCTTTATTCTTCTTCTTGGTGCTGAGAATCTGTGGACCTTAGATTAACTATACATTTATGAATTTGATAAATTCAGGAAGAAATATGCAGAGTTGTTCCATTGGTTTCTCTGTCATATCACTCAGCATTTTCTAGGGCAGACACTCTTCTAAAATCAGATGTGTAACTATATGTGAAATAACGGACTCTCAAACTTCCATCACTATACGTTTGGGTCATACTATTATAATTCTCCTTTTACAACTGAGAAAACTCAGTCACAGAGACATTAAGTAACTTGCCTAAGTTAGCATAGCTGGAAGTGGTAGAACTAGGTTTTAAACTCAAATGTTCTGGCTGCAGAGTCCATGTCTCTTAGCACCATGTAGTGGTGCAACTGGGAACAGTAACAGCCAGTTCTAACCTCATATTACTGTGTGGAGTATTGCCTGAGTGAATCCAATATCCTGTGTTCCAAATGCTTTAAGGAAATACTGAAAATTAAAAAAAAAAAAAAATGGAAATGAGAGCCTGGTGAGAATCAGACAAAGAGAATAGGCCAATAGTGAGATCAGTTTGTAAACCGAATATAGTAAATACCATATATAAAATTTGAATTGAACTGTAGATCTGACTTAAGCTTCCTAGCAGCTAACATAATGAGAGAGAATATTGGTTATGTAGTGTCCTCTAAAATTAACAAAATGAACAGCATTACTCACCAGATGTACAACTATTCCTGGCATAGAACCAAGCGAAAAATTCAAGCTATGAGGCCTCACAAAGAAAGCACTGTTAACATAAGAACAATGTTTTCCATAGTATTCTCAGAATAAATTCAAGAACAAATTTCATGATTTTTTTTTTGTTATTTTTAAAAAGTCATTTCTCAACATAGGCCAAAGTGCAATTCAGCTACAGTAATTTGAGGGACGGATGAGTCACAAATCCTATCACCCAGAAACTGGTAGTAAATTGTACAGTATCTCAAAGAATGAATGGACTGTGTATCTCTCAGGTATTTCACCAGATGTGTAATTGATTAAATGTTGGATATACAATATAACTTTGTGGTTGAAATTCTGGGCTCAGGAGTCAGTCCCAGGTCCAAGTCCAAGCTCTGCTTTTTAACTTGCTTTCCTACTCCTGAGTAAACTATTTCTCTTTATCGAAGCCAAGCAAGATGTGGTATGTCGTTAGAAAATCTATCAATGCAATTAATTTACAGAATCTTTTATATGTATAGTCATATTTATGTTTCATAAATCAATCTGTTTTTGTAGATTCATGCACATCAGTGTCCTTGGCTATTTATCAGAAGAAGACTAAGTCAGAAGTATGATAAGAGGGGCTCTGTCATGTTTTATTTCATAAAATAAATTACTGATAGCATTTAAATTTTATACAAAGACAGCACAGCAATGCTTTGTTCATGTTAAAAATAGAGTTATAAAAGTAAAATAATTGGATTGGATCAGACAAACATACCCTGGTGTTTGAAAACAAATTTAAATAGGTAATAATAAAATAGACCAGTTTTTTTGTTGTTGTTGTTATTTGAGACGGAGTCTCGCTCTGTTACCCAGGCTGGAGTGCAGTGGTGCCATCTTGGCTCACTACAAGCTCCACCTCCCAGGTTCAAGTGATACTCCTGCCTCAGCCTCTTGATCAGCTGGGATTACAGGTGTGTGACACCACACCTGGCTAATTTTTGTATTTTCGGTAGAGACGGTGTTCCACCATGTTGGCCAGGCTGGTCTCGAACTCCCCACCTCAGGTGATCCACCCACCTTGGCCTCCCAAAGTGCTAGGATTACAGGGTTAGCCACTGCACCCGGTCGATCGACTAGTTTGTTTTTTTTTTTAATGGAAAATATATGCAAATTGTTTTGCACAATTCTTGGCACATGGAAGTTGATTAATACAAATGATTTTATTTCTAGCTAATCAGCGCCTCCTCCACCATGGCCTCTACCTAGGCGACCTGTGTTTCGTGTTTTTACTTTGATACCCCCTTGCCTTCCAATCCAAGTCTCCCTTTCCGGTGTCCATTTTGCTTGTGAACTTTGGACAAGTTACTGTCCTTTTGTGTTTCTTATTTCTGAAAGACATTTGGAGTAGGCCACCTTTATGGTCCTTTTCACTGTAAATTGCCATGTTTGTGTGTTACTGTCTAATAGCAGTGCTGCTAAATGGATGAATATGGTCTCTTGGCTGGGTAGTGTATTTTAACAGGAGATAACGTCCCAGATCAAAGAAGTGATTCTAAACTGAAGGCTCTTGTATAAATATAGTTAGAGAAAGAGGATTTTGTTGGAGGGGACTTTTTACTCCCGCAGAAAACAGCGTGACTTTCCTTATAGATTCATTCCACTGACACTGTCTTGTGGTAACAAAAGATTTGAGATATTGTGCTCATCTTCAATACATTTTCTTACCTCATACGACCACCCTACATTCCCAGCCACTCTCTTTTTTGTTTTTATTTTCTGCCCATTTATATTTCATTTGAGGGTTTTGTTTTGTTTTGTTTTTACTCAAAAGCAATTGTACTAAATAATGACAAACATTACAGACACTTAGATGCAAAATGATGTAGCCAAAGAATGTGATACCTAAGTACCAGTTGAAGGCCTACTACTAATTTACTATTTCTCTTAGGCTTCAATTCCTTCACCTAAAAGGGAGAGCAGTAGCCTCAGTAGCTCTAAAGTCAGCATAAAAACTTTCTTAATACCATATTTTTTCTGTCACGTTGATTAGAGTTAGATTCAACATTTAAGATCCTTTCCAATTCTGAACTTCTTTATTTTGTTAGTGTGGGTCAAAGGCAGAAGATGAGGAGATAAGATAAGGGCAGCCAGGAAATCTGGAGGCAGATAAGCATGCAAACAATCAAATCCTCTGTTACATCACAAACAGCATAAGACAGAGTGGAAAAGCAGTTCCAAAATTAACGTGAAGAAATAGCAATCGAGAGCCACGCAAAAGCTGAAAGAGCAGCACAAATTTAATAAGCAGATTGTTAACCATAAGATGATCTACCAGAAACAGGTGAATGGTCTCAATCCCTGCTGTGCAATACAAGCGTAAGCCTCCTGCTATACACAGAGCATGGCTTTGAGGGTAACAGGCAATGAAAACAGCTGACTAACAGTAAGGGCTGCAACCAGGAGAAGACAGTGCTGGGTGGAAGTGCTTTTCTGACACTAAATCACAATGAATTACAGATATTAATTATCGGTACCATTATGAATGGCACCTTCTCTTCATCTCCTGAATAGAATTCTGAGAACCATTAAGTCTATAGCACAAAAAGTGAAAAAACTGAGTCAATTGTTCACATAATTCATATCACGAGCACTTTGAAATATACACACAGTACAGGTTAGAATTTTGATTAATTTGCTTGTATTTTAAACTGAGTTATACAGAAAACTGCCTCCCTTGGTCACTGTGATTTTTGAGTGTGGATGCAGCCATAGATAACATCGTGATTCTTTTATGAACTTAAAATACCCTTGAAACCTTGAGGAAGAGAAATTCAGTGTGCAAAAATATCTAGAAATCAGCTAGACCTCTTATTTATTTAACAAAGCTGATCGTAATGAAAATTACCTTTCCTGTTTAAAAAAAAATTGAGCAATCTGCATTTACAAACTATTTACTTTTCTTCTGATTATAATGATAATTTGTAACTCAGCTGGGCTTTTTCTAATGACTTGAGCCTTTTTTATACTTTGAATTTTTTTAATGCTAAATAAAAACATGGAGTTTTTTGGTGTTTACTTACATTTCATCTTCTTCACATGGTAGGTCCGAGAGCACCAACTGAAACACATGTTTAGAACAATAAAATCCAAACATCTCATCAATCTAATCCTTTAATACAGGCAGCGCCTAGAGACAATGTGGGTTTATATCATTTCGTTTGCTTTTTTAATTAAAAGCTCTGTAGCAGACTTTATTGTTGGTACACAGAATTTTAATTGAAAAAAATCTCTGGGTGGATTCTTAAGCTCAGCAGTGGCAGAAGATATATGTTTTGAACCAGATTCCATTTCTACATACCAATATAAATGGATTTTACGACAATTTTTGTTTTTTTCTATACACAGATTTTGCTTGCTCTAAAGAGCTTTTGTGCACCTTGCATTTTTTGTTTTCATGTTTTAGCTAGAGGACAGCAGTTCATTATTAGTGAGTATTGTTTTCACGCAAAAAAAAGTTCCAAGTACATACATAGAAACAGAAGTCAATCCTATCAGCATTAATGGGTATTAAATATATATTCATGAAAGGGTGACTTTAACCTGCTCTAAGGGTAAGATCCATTTAAGATCACATGACGTTCCAGTTGAGATTTACAGTCTTCTCTTTATCAGAGAAGAGGAAAAAAGTAATCATTTTGCTTGCTTTGTTTGAAAAGACCAATACTATAAGCATTCTAAAATAATGCTCTTAGTTCTCTGCACTGAGTGTCATAGGTTACAACATCTCATACACCAAATCACAAGGAAAAAGGCGCTTCTTTCTAAAGGTTTTATTATCTGTTTGCTTGCTTGACCCTTTGAACCAGGACTCCTTCCTCGCACAATGAGAAAGTCTTTAAATGGCATTTATATGTAGCTCTAAATACTTAGTTGATGAGCTCAGTTGAAGTATTTATTTTCCTGGACTATAACATGCACATAAAAGTAAAAGAAGTTACAAAATTTAAAGTGATAGACTTGGGATTTCTATGTGAGATGTGTCTTTCCCCCCCTTAATCCCAAATACATCTTCTTCAGCACCTTATATTTACTCCACCAAGTTTATCTGGGCAAAGAGATTTGTGGAGTTGCAGATGGAGCCATGAATTGGCCATCAGAGAGCATGGTAATGAACAATTTATAAGCACAGAAAATGAGTTGCATTCTTTTTTGCTAGAATGCTGCAAATAGATTTGCATACTAAGTGAAAGGAAAGTGAACATTCACATTTTGTCCATAAAGAAAGTTTATTTATGAGTAGATGAAATCATCTGGGATCCAGCTTAACAGATAAATGATGCCAGCATTTCACTTTCTGGTCACTTCCATGTCTTTTGTGTGTGTTGTAACCTAGCAATAGTACACAGTATTAAATTATTAGCACCTCACTGCCAACACATTACCTTTCAAACTTCTGGTTATTATGAAGAGGTAAGAAAAGCCATAATTTACTTTAGATCTAAATATTTCAGGTACCTTACATTGAAGTAGCACAGATATAGAGATGCACGTATTAGTCAGAAAGGGATGCTGGAGCAGAGGAACTGAAATAAATCCTAAAATGGTTCTGTCTACATCAGTCAGCATTGAAAAACTATCAAGCATCCAGTATGGTTGCAGGCAATAGTAAACACGTCTTAAATTAATCCAGCCATAGCATTTTGTTCTGTGTCAATAGCATTTTGAATTAAAAAAATTACAGCATAGCAAAGTTAAACAAAGGTTAAATTTGCAATCACATTATTTCAGTAGCAATAGAACTAATTAAAGGAGAAATAAGACTAATGCCATGGACATTTTGTTTTGTCCCTCTGACCAATGAATACAAGAAATCATAAGATGCTAGTAACGCTTGAAAGAAATCTTTTAAATGTAGAACAGTTAAGTTGCTCACATATAAACCTATAGCAAATCAAGTCCTCAGAGTACCTCTGGAAACCTTAACCCAGAAAGAGAGAGAGTTACCTGGAATAGTGGCAAACACAAGATCCCTATTGTTGAGATCACTGAAGTGACACTGAAAAGTCTGGATCTTGACATATTTAAAGGACAATCAGCTTAGGATCATGGTTTGGTGCCTGCGTTTATTTCCTTCTTTTCAGAACTTACTAGCTTCCCTGTAAGTTACGCTTCCTACCAGGACATGCATTAATAATGGCTCCTTGTGACTGATAAAGTGCGTGCTAGGGGAAGGAATGTTGGGTACATGTTTATAGGTACTAAGAGCCCAAGGAATTTAAGTTTAAGGTCAGAACTTCAGTACTGTTTGTCAAGGCCTGTGAAAGTAGGGGTTATAAATGCTGACCTCCAGCGCTAGCTGGTTACTTAATAACTTTCCGCATCCAAGTGCATGTTTTATTCCAGGAAACTTCTGAGTTTCTAATACTATCTCATATTTGGAACATTTATTCAATTTTCTTCCCTTTGTTGGTACTCTTTGTTCTCCTACACACCATTTTCAGTTCCAGGTCTAACCCAACCTTAGGCATAAAGCTTTCCCTGTTGTATTGTGATAATATCCCTCTTTTAAACAAGGTTTATTTCAGTGTTTATTTTATGAAACAACTCCATCACTACCACTGAAAAATAAAGCGAGAATATCTAGGGAAATTCTGAAAGAAAGAAGAGGCACTAACCTATTGTATATTAAGATGTCTTAATCTATGCATTTGACAAAAATTAATACTGATACATGTAAATAATAAGGTAAATGTAAAAGAATAGAGAGTTTAGAAATGGAGAGTTTAGACTCAAATAAACAAATTTATTTAAGCTTCCATTTTAAACTAGTGGAGAGAAGATGGATATCTTTCAGAGTACAGTGAAGAACTAAATGGTTATGTGGAAAGAATGTAACGAATGATTGTTAAGATGCTTAACCTCAGTCATAATTAGATAAACATACCTTAGAATTATAATCAGATTGACAAATTCAAAAAATTGATACTATAGGGAGGAGGGATAAATATGGGGAAACAAATACTCTCTTATATGTTTGGGAAAACTGTACAGCTTATCTGGAAAACAAGTAGGCAATATACATCAACATAAAAAATAAATATGCCCTGAGAGCAAGAATTCTCCTCGCAAGATACATGAACGTACCCCTTACACATGGCACAAATTATTATATGCAATGATGTTCATCAAAGCATTGTTGGTGTTAACAAGATATTGGAAACAGCAAATATTCATGAAAATGTGACAGACTGAGTACAAAATGGTTATATAAATTTAACAGAATACTAGGAATCTGCTTTAAAAGGTGGAGACAGATCACAGATGCTGATATAGAGAGGTCTTTAATAGTTATTAAGTAAAAGGTACAAAAATCACAGAATATTGTGTACATCATGTTACCTTTGTATGCAAAAATAGGAAGGTAGAGCTATAGTATTCTCTCCATACACAAAGCTTAGGCATATATACTTATACATGCATAGGATGTCTCTGCATGAAACTGCTAACAGTGGTTGCTCTGTAAAAGGGAAATTGGAAACTAAGAAAACAAGAGTGGGAAGGAAATTTACTTTTCACTGTTACTTCCTTGTATTTTTGATATTTTTTACAATGTCTATATGTCATCTAATTATTTTATACATACATTCACTTCTAACAGCCAATTTTGAAGGCAATCATCTACAATGCAGAATGAGAATATTATAATTCAAGCTCCAGTGTAGTTCACCAAGTCCAATTCAAATTGTAATATATGAACCCATTTATGATCACACACATAGATTATTCTAGAAACAAACCAACAGTGTTAGTTATCTAAACTACCGCACAGAGCTGGCCATCATAGTGTACGGACTAGTTGAGCTGCATCTGGATGGGTGAAGCCGACTGTGTGGTGACCATGGTCTGTTTAGTATGCAGCCACAGTCACAGCCATGAATTTCAAAGCAGAGGAAGGGCTTGGTGCCAATGCCAATAGGAGAAAAGTAAACCAAATCTACAGTATTATTTATCCCTAAGACACCCTCCATTTTGAGTGTCTCTGAAGCCTGTAATTAAACAGAATGAAAAATAGGCTTTTCACTGGTGAACTTATTTATTAAGCAGTCAGAAGCCTGACTTCCGTCAGTGGAGTCAATGATCTTAAGAATTTCTGGGAAAGGAAGAGGCCAGATGACTGGAAAAGAGAATGGAAATAAGGGCAGCATATTTGGTTTTGCTTCAGAAACTGCAATAATGACCAACTAGATACATAGATTAGATAATTCTTGTCCAAAAAAAAAAAAAAAGCATGATTCTGCAACAGCTGCCTGACTAGGAGTATGGCAGCTAAGTGGAGGTGGAGTCTATAGTCACAATAGTAACACAAACACCACTATTATATTTGGTGCTAAAATCAAATTTTACATTCATTTCCACCTTTCTATTTCCAAATTGCCATTTATCCATTTACATCTGTGACTTCCCCACGCCACTTCCAAAGTCCAGCATAATATTTTCTAAGACAGTAGTTTCTCTATTATATTTCCTTCCTAGCATCATGACAGTGTGGTGGTCACGGAATAGAAAACCTGACCATGAGCACAATTTTACCTGCAAAGTTTTTTAAATAGATACTTACAATTAAAATAACTTATTTTGTGATAAATTTAAATTTGCATGCAGTCTTAAGAACTACTACAGAGATCCCATATACTCTTCATTTAGTTTACCCCAGTGGTAGCATCTTACATAACTGTTATACAGGATCACAACCGGAAAATTGACACGGAGAAAATCCACTATCTGTATGATTTAAAAACAAAATTATGTACATAGTAGTCGTTCATATGTATGGGGTACATGTGATATTTTATCACTTAACATGTGTAATTTTGTAAGTCCAACTACATCCTTATGTGCATGAACTTGTGGTAGTGAATTGTCATCACTGGAAAGTCAAGCTGAAGATGGATGAGTGCTATACATAGCAGTATGGTCTCTTAGATCACTAAGATTCTAGGGACTGTTTATGTTTGATTATAAGAGTAGAAGTAAGCAAAACTTGAATCTGTAGAAAAGGAAAGGACATGCACTGTGATAGTGTATAAAATTCGCCCAGTACTTGGATGGCGGACCTTTCATCTACATCTTTGTTACAAGAGAATGGGCACACATATATTCAACTTCACAGCTCTGGTTATTCACCTATCTCTTTTCTTTGTGAGAAGGAATTAATCCTTCTGAAATGGCCGGAGTTGAGGAAATATGAAAACTATCCTCTGGATTTGGAGCCTGACATAAGTCAAAATTCCCTGAAGCTCTGAAGTCATATCAATATTTGTCTTTAAAGGTCATGGCATGCAGCTGTTCGAAAGGATTGAGGACCAAAATTCAAGGAATTAAGCGAGAATAAATAAAAGGTATGAATAAAAGTGGGCATGCATAAAGGAAGGTCCAAAGAGCAAGCAAGGGAGCACCAGCTACTCTCTTTATCAAAATTAAAAGTGCAAGTTAAGGTTCTAGGAGTTAGGAAGCCTTGGTCACTAGTAAGCAGCAGTATGACAATAAACAGTTATTTATAAAAGCTGCATTTTCTAAAATAATGATAATAATATTGAATTATCTTTCTCAAATAATTTCATTAAAGATCACATTGAAACTGTCAACATGAAATCAGATATTGCACAGATGTAAGATGTTGATTACTAGAGCATAAAACACAACAAAATAAAATAAAATAAATGAGAATTTCAAAATTAATTCAGAGATCCATGGAAACAATAGGAGTTGAGGTAATACAAGGAGGACATAAAATGAGGCAGCAAGCTGTCGGAGTCTCTAGTTTCTCCATTTGCTTCTTCCCGCAGTGAAAGGAAATATTGATTACATTGCCAAATCAATGATCAACTTTTAGTCATCTTACTTTAAGTAATGGACAACATTTGACACAGTTAATCACTTCTTGCTCCTTTACCTTCCTCACTCGGCTTCCAGAACAATAGCGTTTTGATTTGCCTCCCAGTTTACTGACCATTTCTATTCAACTCTCTAGACTTGACATGTTAGGGATGCCTTAAGACTCAGTTCTCAGACCTCTTTCTCTTCTATATACATCCACTGTCTCAAGAATCTCAGTCAATTTTACAGATTATCATCCATAAAATGACACCTCTGAGATTTGTATCTTCAATCCAGATATTTCCCCTGAACTCATGTAATCAACTCCATATCAGTTGGCTGGGGAGGAGATTGTCGTGATATTTAATATAGCAGCTGAGGAAAACATTACTGAGAATGTGGCATTTCAGCAAGGACCTTAAGGAAGTGATGAAGTAAGCCACATGGAAAAATGGGAGAGGTGCATTTCAGACAAAGGAAAGATCAAATGCAAAGCCCTCTGAGACAGAAGAATGCCTGGGAAGTGTGTGGAAAAGCAAGAAGGCAGAGTGCCTAGAACAGACGGAGTTGAGTAGAGACCGTCAGTTGGCTGGGGAGGAGATTGTTGTGGTAGCAGCTGAGGAAACATCACATGTCACATCACATCCATGGCATCATTGGACATATTAGACTTCTATAAATAAACTTAACCCAAACCTAGCTTCTCACTTTTCTTATCTCTTCTCCATCCTTTGTGTTTTCTCCAAATATTTCCTATATCAGTAAGCTAAAACACCCTTTTTGTTTTCTCAGGCCAAAAATCTTATAAATATTTTTTAGTTCTCTCCTTCATATGCCATGTCTAATGTATCAGTAAATCCTGTAGTCTCAAATTTCAAAATATATACAGACCCTCAACACTTTTTACTACCTTGACTAGCAACTTTTTACCTAACTTACTCACCAACCACCTTCATATGTTACCAAAATTACCATTAATAGGTTCTTAGCAGGTACTTCTGTTTTTCCATTTGCCTGTCAACAATATAGCAACAAGAATGACGGTTTTTTTGTTTTTGTTTTTGTTTTTGTTTTTGACAGAATCTCCCTCTTCCACCCAGGCTAGAGAGTGCAGTGGCACAATCTTGTTTCATTGCAACCTCCACCTCCCAGGTTCAAGCGATTCTCCTGCCTCAGTCTCCCAAGTAGCTGGGATTACAGGTGCCCACAACCATGCCTGGCTAATTTTTGTATTATTAGTAGAGACAGGATTTCACCAAGTTGGCCAGGCTGATCTCGAACTCCTCACCTCAGGTGATCCACCTGCCTCAGTCTCCCAAAGCACTGGGATTACAGGCATGAGCCACCGCACCCAGTCATGATGTTCTTAACTATGTCAGATCCTGTCACTTCTCCACACAAAACTCTCAAGTAACTTCTTAATTACCACAAAGTGAAATGAAGATGCTTTTTATAATGGCTTAGAAGGCCTCACAAGGTCTGTTGTCTCTTCTCTTTCTGGCCTACTAATCTCTCAATTCAGTCTGTTCTGGGCACTCTGGCCTTCCTGCCTTTTTACAAACTTCCCAGGCATTTTCCTGCCTCGGGGGCTTTCTGTGATCT